TTGTTCAGTGCGATGTTCAAATGCATTAATGAAAGGAAGGTAACTTATAAGACCACCAGTGAAAGTTGACAGTTCTCTAGAGGGGAGAGAAGTTTTTGGTGCTGAATGATTCTGAGTATTTGAGCATTTGGTTGTGCAAGTTGAAAGCTGTGTGGGGGAATGGGTTGTTTCATTCTGGGACTCCTCATTGTGGGCCAACTGACATTAATTGTTGCTGATGTTTGTGTTGTTGGTCCACGCCGAGTGTCTGATACTGATTCAGTATTAATAATAGGCCTTGGTTGTTTGGGTTCCTCCTCCATAATTCTCTGTAGAGGTGTTTTGGGAATTGTCCCTATCCTAGTGAATTCAACAACATTCCACATACTCATTCCATCATCCTGCATCTGTGAGTGGCTTTAAGCTGATCACTGGATTCAGAACTCTTAATAACTCTTTAATTTAGCATCAGCTGCTGCAATATTTGTTTCAACTTCGATCATTTCCATTTTTCTTTGAAGTTGCACCGTTTCTAGTTCGAGTGCATGCTTTGGTTTTAAGCCGTGCGTCCGCGAGGACGACACCGACGAGACTTTTGACCCTGAGGACTTTGACCCAGTCTTTGATACACTGTCTTCTGGATTAATCTCTGATTGTGGATCGGATATAACCTCAGGAGAACCTCAGGAGAACCTCAGGAGAACCTCAGGAGAACCTCAGTAGAACCTCAGTATCTGGGTATTTATATAAACTGTTTTATATTCTGAAGTTCATTGATTGACTCTCTGTTTCTCTGCAGGTGTCTGAAGTGGACGCTGTAACTGCCGCCTGGTCGCCGTGGTGATGAGGAGGATGAGGAGGATGAGGATGGTGCTACCTGCTCTCTGAGACAGACAGACAGACAGACAGACAGACAGACAGACAGACTTTATCAGCCTCTATGACAGAACACTTCCCATGATGCCTTGCTTGACTTCCCTCCACTGAGCCGACGGCGTGCTGCAGGCGTCTTCTTCTTCTTCTTCTCTTCTTAAAGTAGAGGTTGGTCTCCTCATCTGTGCAGCTACGGACGGTTAGCTTAGCATAAAGACAGGAAGCTCCCAGCAGCTCTAAAGCTCTTTGTGGATTCAACCAATCAGATCTGAGTGTGGATGAAGGCGGACGTTCAGCCAGCCAATCAGGGCCGAGAGGAGGCGGGGTTTAACACATGCTCAACAGTTACTGGATTATCCCCCCCCCCCCCGCTTTTATTAAAGACTCTGATATTCAACTCTTCTTCTCTGTCAGTTCACCTTTTATTGCTTTTCAAAATAAGAGCATACAGAGCAAAGATACAGAAAGCACAACAACAAACAACAACAACAAGGAATCATAATAAACTATATATTTATATATAGATTGTAAATATAATGAACACAATCACTGTAAATATTGATCAGTTTCCTGATATTTTAACCTTTTTAACAATCAGACTAAATATTCTCCTGTAAACATTATTGATCAAATATTTCTTATTGATTTCTTCCACAGCACAAATAAACATTATAAAATGTGTTTATATTTAATATATTTTCTTTGAGGCCTTAAAACAAGAATCAGTGCATTATTATTGGATGTTTCCATTGATGATCAATCAACATTATATTGACCATCAGGATTTAAAATGTGAACCAGTTCTAACTTCAATGTCTTTATCTCAATGAAACGAGTCTTTATTCTCTTAAAGCAACAGGAAGTGAGCCATATATGGTAATCATCACCTGACTTATTAGAATTAGCACATTATTATTTATTAATATTTATTATTCATATTTATTATTCATATTGTTTTCAGTTGCTCTCAGTGAACTCCACAGAAACATAAATATACACATAAAGCAGCAATGAACAACAACATAGAGAGTGTGTGTGTGTGTGTGTGTGTGTGTGTGTGTGTGTGTGTGTGTGTGTGTGTGTGTGTGTGTGTGTGTGTGTGTGTGTGTGTGTGTGTGTGTGTGTGTGTGTGTGAGGTTAAAAGTCCAGCTGACTCTCTCGCTTCCTTCCTGGTATCCATGGCAACAGTGTCATTAAAAACATGTCAATAATTAATGTGGACTTTTGAGTCGTGTGTGTGTGTGAGGAGAAATGACACAACACACACACACACACACACACACACACAGTCATTCATATAATAACAGAGAGAGAGAGAGTTCGTGGTAAAGCGAGGCAGAGCTGCACAGACTTTGTTCCCGGCTGCAGGAAGTCGCCGCCGTCGGGACGCCGCAGACGAGTCGAGGAGCTTCACAGCGGTGAGTGAGTACGAACTGGGAGAACTGGGAGAACTGGGAGAACTGGGAGAACTGGGACGGGTTCAAACACACGAGAGCGAAGACACAATGACTCAGGGAGCAGGAGGCCCCGCCTTGTCCCTCACTGATCAATAATATTATGGATTATTGATTCCCATCAATACAGTTCTTTAGGTTGTACCCTGGAGCTATAGAGTGTGTACAGTTCAATGTCATTATGTGTCAATGTAACAATAATAATAATATTTATTAATAATAAACAACAACAATAATAAAGTTTGAAGATTTCACTTTAAGTTCCCGCAGGTTGAAACGATGCATTCAATGTCTCATCAGGCGGTCAGGACGTTGGAGTTCTCTGACTGCAGCTGCTAACACACAGAATCTCTGTGTAGCTCCTCCCACTGCAGACATACATCATGACGTCTTCATCACCACCTCCATCCTCCTCCTCATCATCATCATCTACCTCAGGCACAGCAGAGACTCAGCTCCTCCCCTCTTCGTCGCCTCCTCTTCCTCTCCCTCTGCGCAGTCTGCAGAGTCCCGAGCTGCAGGCGGAGTTCCTGCGAGGTGAGAACGGAGACACACCGCAGTCCCTCTGCGTCCGACGCCCTCGTCTTCATCACTTCCTGTCTTCTGTCTCTTTGTTTCCAGAACGCAGGAACAAGTTACGCTCTCGCAGTGACGTCGCTGGATCCAGTGTCTCCTCCCCTCCGTTCTCCCCTCCTTTCTCCCCTCCTTTCTCCCCCTCCTCTCCCCCGCCCTCCCCCTTCAGCCCCACCCCGCTCTCCTCCCCCTGCAGCTCCTCGTCCTCCACGCCGTCTCCCCGCAGCGACAGCAGACAGGGTGAGTGGTGAATATCAGAGGAGATAAAGACTGCAGAGGAATCATTACACCTGTAACTTACCTTCACTCATCATTGATCATTGTGAGGCGTTTGCTGCCCTCTGCTGGGCTGAACGACTGCTGCACGCTGTGAGAGAGACAAAGTGAAAGCACCGAGATCTGAACAGTCGGTAAACAGTCGGTGTGCGACAGCTTCAGACAGACAACCACAATACGACGCCATCGACAGGCGAACAGGGTTGAACGTTGACAGCTACAAACTGAATGTTTCTCGCTCCTCAGTTTGATTTTTAAAGTTTAACTGTGATCTGTCTGTCTGTCTGTCTGTCTGTCTGTCTGTCTGTCTGCAGCCCGTCTGTCTCTGTCCCTGTCCAGCCCCGAGCTCCTGTCAGAGCTGAAAGACTCCAGGACAAAACCCCTCCGACATGTCCCCGCACACAACGGACTGACCACCGTCTTCTCTGGACGAGGAGGAGGAGGAGGAGGAGGAAGAGGAGGAGGACGGGTGAGCAGACACAGTCACAGTACAGAGGGAGGTGGGAGGGAACTAATGGATCAATATCTGTGACCTCCTGAGGACGTTATTGTCTCTGATGTTCATCCACAATAAAAACATTCAGAACTTGAGAATCATCGTATTTTTTAAAGAAACAGTTGAAAACATATTTATTCAACATTCGTTACTTTTAACTGTCACATTTCTTTAATTCTCATCTTTTACTTATTTTATTGTTCTTCTGTTTTATTTTATTTCTTATTTCTTACGTTGACAGATTCTGTTAAGATAAAAACTTTATTGATCAAACAACACGACAGATAGAAACAAGAGTTCTGTGTAAACTGTTGTTCCTCTTCTATTTGTTATTCATTTGATTGTTCTTCTCTCTTCTGTAGAGCTATAAATAATATACATGTAAATAAAGTATTATTACTATACAGAATATTTAGTTCACTTTCAGTTTTTAATTAATTATACAAACTTTTCACTGTCTCCCTCCTTAAAGCTAGTGTTAGCATGTTAGCATGTTTTTACTTTCACTTTCAGACCAAATTAAATTTGCATTCATTGACCATCAGCAGATATAAATTCATCTTTAATGTTTCCTTTCTTTCCCAGGCCTCTGGCCCCGCCCCCTCCACACAAGCAGCCAATCAGAAGCCTTCACACTGAATCTATCAGCAGCACCTGAACCAGTACCAGACTACTGGACCCGGATCCACCGCGGACTCTGCTGCTCTACAACTAGACTTTAATCAACTTGTTGGAGTTTAATAATAAAGATGAACTGATTCCAGGTTTCCCACAGCGGCTGTTGTTCTGATGTAGTTAACAACACAAAACATCAGCAGATAAACACACTGATCCGTTCTTCTGAAGCAAATCTCAGAACATTGAGTCGGATATCTCACCACCAGTCGTCTTCGTAGGGTTCCCTCAGTGCTGTTTGACCTTCAGTATTTAAATGTGATTAGTAAATGATATTGATCATATTCGTTATGGATCGAGCTCGAAGGCGTCAGTTACTAAAGTTTTTCTTTCTTTCTCGCCAATTGAAGCATTTAAAACTTTACTCTGAGCGTCTTTCTGAAAAACTGTAAAACTGACAATAAAAGACTTTAAACTCTAAATAAAAGTAATCGAGTATTTCCAGTTTCCTCCACGATTACAAAAATTGATCAAAGGATCAAAGGATGTGATTGATTGTTGATTTCAGTCAGCAGGAGACAACAAAAGTAATGTAACTAACAATTCTAGTTACTGTAGAAAGTAATATTATTATTAGTTACCATGGTTACAACTGTGTGCTGCTGTTACAAAGGAAAAGAATCAATAAACATTGAGTTGGCAGATGATCAGTTTTATTGGTCGAGTGTGTGAACACATTAAAGGAGTTAATTCTCATTGATCTAAATGTTCTTACACAGAAATATCAGATATAAACAAAGATAAATAAAAAGTAAAATTACTTTTATGTTACAAGAATATGAAAAACAACGAAAATGTATAACAATTCAAATTATAGTAGAATATAAGAGACAGTAAAATATCAACTAGTGATTTATGTTTAATAAACACAGTAAGGATCAATATAAAACTGATATTTCAGTTAAAGGACTGAATGATGAGCTGAGTGAGGAACAACTGTGTTATAACGTCTGACAGCATCATGTGATATAACTGCAGTGAACATATCGCTCATGTTGGGCTGTAAAATAAAAAGATATCCATCACTCACACTGACACTATTAATAATGCTGATGGCAGCGGCTTTCAACCTGGGGGTCCGATGGGGAGAAGAACTCCACTGGTTCTCAAACTTTGGCATTAATGTACCAACTGAAATATTTAAGTTAATATTAAAGAATCTTCTGACATTTTGGTAGAAAAAGAAAAAGCCAACAAAAATAAAATACAGCACAGAACCATCAGTGTCAGATTTATTAAAAAAAACACTTCAATAATGCAATGAGTTTGCAATCCGTCACTGAATTCATGGCAAACACATTTTTTGTCATTATGCAACAAGACGGCATTGAACTGCGCCTTTTTAATAATCTCCATTTAGAATTTAGTAAGAACCTGTTTCCTGTGAACGCTACAGGAAGTTGTTTATTTATAACTTGCAAAAAACCTGCAAAGGTCAGAGTCACCGCCTCGTTGGAGCTCGAACAAGTAGGTTTTGAGACTTTTGCAATTTTGCAAAAAGATTTTATTAATGTAAATGATCCCTGAACAGTTTCGAGCAGACGAGAATTCACAAACACCATCCTGATTATTCTGGAGGTTGTGACTTAAAAGGTTGAGAACGTGTTATGAATAATATTATATATCTATATGATAGATCAATATCAGCTGATTGACTGACATACTAACTGAAAAGAGTTAAGTCCACTGAGAACAGCCTGTGTGCATATTAACTTCCACACCAAGTGCTCAAGCTGTAAACACTGACACTAACATCTTGAGGTCGACCGCCAGTCCTCGCCTTTTTACTTGAAAAGTTTACAACGTTTTTTTTGTAAACCGTGTCACAGTTCTTGTCAATCAGACTTATTTGTCTTTTTGTTTTGTATGCTATAAGGAGTTCGGTCTAGACCTGCTCTATTTGAAAAGTGTCCTGAGATAACTTCTGTTATGAATTGGTGCTATACAAATAAAGCTGAATTGAACTGATTCGGTCAGGCGGCAGAAAGTCGTTTTTAGTAGTACAAGTATTTATGTTTCTGCCACTTTTTGTATGAAAGTATCGATACAAATGTATTTATTTATACATATGAACTGATTTGATTGATAATATATTGATAATATATAAAAAGCACCAATGACCAACAGTCAGTTTACAGCTGCTATCACTATGAGTCTGCAGTGACCTCACTTCCTGCTCTAAATAAAGACTATAGGACAGTAACCTGCTGTCAGTCAGTGTCCATTATCACTGTCCTCTCCTACTCCGCTATCAGCAGCCTGCAGGAGAGACGCTCTGTGGTGCATTGTGGGATTTTATAAGTGAGCTCTTCCTTCCTGTGACTGAGTGTAAATGTGATGTTTGAGCTCTCAGATGATGCAGACAGACATTAATGTCAGAGACAGTAACAGTGTCTCACAGTGGACGCAAGAGAGGACGTTGGACCGCCGTCTGACCAACACATTGGAAATAAGTAAAAAAATAACTTAATGTGGATTGTTTCCACATTTTAAAGTAATTAAAGTAATGGACTCTAGTAATGTTGAGGTTACTAGTCCATCAGTAGAAACATCTGCTGCTGATCTCTGCAGGTAAAACAGCTCAAATATGATCCAGTCAGGCCTTCAGTGTGGACCAGGACTCATTAGAGTTTACACTACAGAAGATCTGTGGTCAACTGAGTCCCAAGTTAAGTGATCTGATCACAGTGAGTCTAAATACCAGCTGTTAACAACATATACAAGTCACGTTATAAACGATACAAATACTGCAAAAAATGGACTTGATATCGATTAGATAGATGAATATATATAATATGTCTATACACAGTGAGCAGGATTTATAGTGGAGCATCAAATGGATGTTTGAGGGCGATTCTACATCCATTTATGGATAACTGGGAGAGCAAATTAAGCTTGTGCCCGTATGCTTGTTTCCATGATTGAAACTTAAAAACAGAACCTTTACAGAACCCAAATGTGCAACTTTAGCTCAGCCTGATTGTGACCCACTCCTTCCAGCAAAGGGGTGGCATCATGGTTACATAGTGTGTGACGAAGGGAGCATTTTGTAACATGGGAGGGCAGAAGATAGTCAGTTATTGTTGTCTATTTCTACAGTTTTTAGAAAAACATCAGAGTGTGGACGGGAGGCCGGAGTTAACAGCTTTGCTCTGGAATCAAACTGGTGCAGTGTGAACGCGTTGGTGAACTTTAAGAGAACTACTCTGAGTAAAACTTTTCCCACACTGCTCACACCGGAACGGTTTCTCTCCGGTGTGAACATGTTGGTGTATTTTCAGGTTATCTATTGTAGTGAAAGTTTTGCCACAGCGGGCACACCAATACGGTTTCTCTCCAGTGTGACTGCGCTGGTGGACTTTTAGATGACTCGAAGTTGTGAAGGCTTTCTCACACTGGTCACAGCTGTACGGTTTCTCTCCGGTGTGAACTCGTAGGTGCTTCTTTAGGTCACTTGACGCGGTGAAAGCTTTCTCACACTGGTCACAGCCATATGGTTTCTCTCCAGTGTGTACAAGGTGGTGCCGTTTAAGTTCATACGCTGTAGTGTAAGCTTTCTCGCACTGGTCACAGCTGTGCGGTTTCTCTCCAGTGTGAATGTGTTGGTGGTTTTTTAACTGAGTCAATTGAGTAAAACTTTTCCCACATTGGTCACACCAGTAGGGTTTCTCTCCAGTGTGTCTGCGCTGGTGAGCTTTTAAGGTACTCAACTGTGTGAAAGCTGCGGTGCATTGGTCGCAGTTGTACGGTTTCTCTCCGGTGTGAACACGTCGGTGGGTTTTAAGATTGTTTAAAGAGTTGAACGCTTTCTCGCACTGCTCACAGCTGTACAGTTTCTCTCCAGTGTGAACACGTCGGTGGATTTTTAAGTTACTCAAAGAGTTGAATGCTTTCTCGCAGTGGTCACAGCTGAATGGTTTCTCTCCAGTGTGAACTCTCTGATGAATCTTTAAAGATGATGATTTTGTGAAGGATTTGCCGCAGTCCTCACAGTAGAAACGTTTGAGTCCATCTCTTCCTCTCCGCTTCTGTGGCAAGACAGACAGACAGACAGATATGTTATTGTGAGCCTGTACTGTTGAAGTGGATCTAGCAGTGCCATCTTACTCAGTTTCACCCAGTGTTGACAGTCAGAGGGCTGTTAGCTCACCTATCAACCCTACCATCAATACATTACTGATTCAGTGACACACTGCTGACAAACTCATGTTAGTAAAATTAAAAATATATACCGATTGATCTGATTTTTCCTTGCTGCTGTCTCCAAGGTCTTGCTCATGGTGGTACTGTTGGGTCTCTGTAAATAATGTTATAAGGAGTTCGGTCTAGACCTGCTAGACCTCCTCAAATAAAACTGAACTGAATACAGCAGACCTATTGTTACGTGTCAGGACCTGCTCTAAAGGTAAATCATTTATTTAGATACAGTAATGTAAGTCAGTAATATCTTTCACATTTTAAAATTATTTACTTATCATACACGTCATTTTTACACTTACTTCTTCTTTATGCATGTATTGTAATTTTATTGGATTCTGTTTTATTTTGCTGCAGCACTTTGTAACTGTATAGAAAGCTGCTGTACAAATACATTATTATTATGTATTTGATCTTTTTTCAGACAATAGTTTGATGATTTTTATGAAATTTTAGTCCAATTTTTACGATGAACGAGGCTCAATGAATCCACTCCTGGGTCAAAATACTCTGCAGCAGTCGGTAGTAATCGGCTGCAGACACCCAGGTGGAAATATTAATCTACATCAGTTTTTTTTCAAACTAATGAGCTGCCACGAACAACTTCCATAGCCACTGGCCGTAGCTGTTGCCGACCGGTAAGTTACAGAAGCCGTTCGTGGCAGCTCATTAGTTTGAAGTCAAGGCAAACACATTATTAATTAATTCGCTATCACGACAAAACGATCTTTGTTATGTCGACATAGCGAATTAATTATTTCGTTATCTCGACATAAAGATCGAAAACAAACTTTGTTATATCGTGATAACGAATGAATAAGTCGTTATCACGATATAACAGTGCATAAAAATAAAAATAAATCCATGGCCGTTCTTGGCTTCCGTATATTCCTGTATTTCAACTTATACAACTTAAAAGGGAACTTGGCAACTCTAGCCATTTCTTCGCTGGTTTTCACTTTTGTCGTCGCATGTTTTCTCAACAAGTTCCCCCTACAGCTCTGGGACGTATATTTCACTAAACTGTTGTAAAAAAAACTCACTTGCGGGACCCTCCTCCCCCTTTCTCTGCCATGATGACCATCTAAAAAATGATCCATCATCGCTTGTTTTTACAGCCGGCGCCCGGTCTCGCTCGTTCTTGTTCTCACGATACTTCCGATTTCCAATTTACCGGGACGGCAGTCCCAAAGTTGCAAGGTTGGTTTTCCGCCTGAGGGGGGTGGAGGAGTCACCATTTTCACCAGAACAGGCCATTTAACCATCCAAATGATTTCTAAACGGATTTATTAAGCTGAAAAAGTTGCCAAGTTCCCCTTTAATGTCTTAAACTCTATTTTTTATTTTTGTAATTTTCTTTCTATACTTTTTGTTTGACAGTTTATGGTCAGCAGAACATGAAGAAGAAACTAAACTGAAGACGAAGAGGAAACATTTTAGATAAACAGAGCAGATAGAGAAAGAGTGTTAGGTAGAGATTGTTAACAGTTACACAGAACCTGAACTCTAACCAGTGAGTTACCTGCAACAGATTATTTCCTGTAACCTCCTGTTTGTCGTTGAACTGAGCTGCTCCCAACCTCCACTAGGGGTCGCCAAAGGGTCACAAAGCCTTCTTCATTTTAAGTGTAATAAAAAACTAAAATTAGATAGTCTCAATATTTCGTTCATTTCTGAGGAAAACTGAATAAGTTATGTTTTAAGTGTATGATAATGTTTTAGATGTAAAGTTTGAAGGTGCGAACAGTGTATATTATTATTGTTATTATTGATCGCAGTGACAGAGCTTCAGTCTCTGATCAACAGCCTCGTCCTGCATCAGAAAGCAAACAGCCGATAGATCAATGAGGATAAACAGAGCATCTGTCAATAAGTCAATCAAATCTCTGGTTTTCCACAAACTTCCTGTTTGTTTGTTTGTTTGTTTGATCGTTATTGTGGAAAAAGAATCCACTAAATACATAAATAGAGTATTATTATTATTAAATACAAATACACAGCTGTGGTATCAACTGAAGCTGAGGAGAGTTCGTTTTCATCGTGTGTGAAAGACAAATGTAGATTTTAATGTGAATAAATAAAGAGGGACATTCTGTGTCATTACAGAAACATTCCTCAAGTCTTTCTGAGAGGTCGTATCTGCGACATCCTGGATGATGACGCAGTTTCATGGTTGAATATTTCCGTTTACTTTAGCAGACGAGCGATGGAGTTATCTTCTGTCACATGTATCTCATGTTTACTGTCAGTCTCTGCTGTATTACTGTCCAGTGAAGAAGAACCACCTCCATTACAGGAGGAAAAAAACAAACATGAACATTTAGTTGTGCTGTCTTAAATATTCAGTAATGTTTTATTATAATTAGTGTTGTGTTATTTCCTGTGAGTATCATTTAAAGATAAACTTAATGATTTAGGCCTAAACTTTAACAAAGATGTGTTTTATATGAATATTATAGAAATTATAGCTAAAGGATTTGATCATCAAGAGAAGAAGAATCAATACTGATACAGTGTGTACTGATCAATAATCAATATACAGTGTATACTGATCAATAATCAATATACAGTGTATACTGATCAATAATCAATAAAGATACAGTGTGTACTGATCAATAATCAATATACAGTGTATACTGATCAATAATCAATAAAGATACAGTGTGTACTGATCAATAATCAATATACAGTGTGTACTGATCAATAATCAATACAGATACAGTGTATTCTGATCAATTATCAATAAAGATACAGTGTATACTGATCAATAATCAATACAGATACAGTGTATACTGATCAATAATCAATATACAGTGTATACTGATCAATAATCAATAAAGATACAGTGTGTACTGATCAATAATCAATATACAGTGTGTACTGATCAATAATCAATACAGATACAGTGTATTCTGATCAATAATCAATACAGATACAGTGTATACGGATCAATAATCAATATACAGTGTATACTGATCAATAATCAATATACAGTATATACTGATCAATAATCAATAAAGATACAGTGTGTACTGATCAATAATCAATATACAGTGTATACTGATCAATAATCAATAGATACAGTGTATCCTGTTAGCATGTAGCAGCTGTCATACAGGCAGCAGCAGCTACATGCTAACAGCTAACGTTAGCTCCTCAGTTAGCACCGGTAGAGCCGAACCGAGCCGAACCGAACCGAGCCGAGCCGAGCCGAGCCGAGCTAACGAGGCGGTGGTGACGTCATTTATCACTGACCTGAACTCCCGTACTGTCAGAGCACGAGCCCGCTCTGTGTGTGCTCGTGCTCTCGGTGCTCCGCCGCTCCGGGTCCTCTTCCTCCTCCGGTCCGCTCCGGTAGCGGTCCGGGTCTCTGAGATCCAGCGGGTCTCCTCCGGTACCGACTCCTCCGGTACCGACTCCTCCGGTACCGTCTCCGGTACCGACTCCTCTCTCAGCGCGCTCAGACATTTTGTTCTCGTTCGGAGGTTTTCGGGCAGCTCACAGGGAGCCTTCGTGTTCTCGCGATATCACCGCGCTTCGCTCGCTAGGCCCCGCCCCTCATAGTTACTGTTGCTAAGGGCTTAGAAAGAATGGCTCGTTGATTCAATTATTTCCAGAAACTTTATTAAGTCAACGAGGTGAAATACAAATCAATACATCAACCAAACACCGCCGGGGGGTTACAGCAGCACAGAGGCTTTCATACAGACACACATTCAGTTTAATAGTTTCATGTTGATGATTTTTAATAGACTTAATATATGACTCAAAGATAAGAAAGAGATTATTAGTGTAACGACATTTATGAATATGCCATTTGGCTAACTGTATAATAAGATTGATGATATAGTATTGTTTTTCTTTTGCAGAAGGATTGTCAGTGAAGCCAAACAATATACAGAAAGTATTCAGACCCCTTTACATTTTTCACTCTTTGTTTCATTGCAGCCATTTGCTAAAATCCAAGAAGTTCATTTTATTTCTCATTAATGTACACTCAGCACCCCATCTTGACAGAAAAAAACAGAAATGTAGACATTTTTGCAAATTTATTAAAAAAGAAAAACTGAAATATCACATGGTCATAAGTATTCAGACCCTTTGCTGTGACACTCATATTTAACTCACATGCTGTCCATTTCTTCTGATCCTCCTTGAGATGGTCCTGCTCCTTCATTGGAGTCTAGCTGTGTTTAATTAAACTGATTGGACTTGTTTAGGAAAGGCACACACCTGTCTATATAAGACCTTACAGCTCACAGTGCATGTCAGAGCAAATGAGAATCATGAGGTCGAAGGAACTGCCCAAGGAGCTCAGAGACAGAATTGTTGCAAGGCACAGATCTGACCAAGGTTACAAAAGAATTTCTGCAGCACTCAAGGTTCCTAAGAGCACAGTGGCCTCCATAATCCTCAAATGGAAGAAGTTTGGGACAACCAGAACTCTTCCTAGACCTGGCCGTCCAGCCAAACTGAGCAATCGTGGGAGAAGAGCCTTGGTGAGAGAGGTAAAGAAGAACCCAAAGATCACTGTGGCTGAGCTCCAGAGATGCAGTAGGGAGATGGGAGAAAGTTCCACAAAGTCAACTATCACTGCAGCCCTGCACCAGTCGGGGCTTTATGGCAGAGTGGCCCGATGGAAGCCTCTCCTCAGTGCAAGACATATGAAAGCCTGCATAGAGTTTGCCAAAAAACACATGAAGGACTCCCAGACTATGAGAAAGAAGATTCTCTGGTCTGATGAGACCAAGATTGAACTTTTGGCGTTAATTCTAAGCGGTATGTGTGGAGAAAACCAGGCACTGCTCATCACCTGCCCAATACAATCCCAACAGTGAAACATGGTGGTGGCAGCATCAGGCTATGGGGGATGTTTTTCAGCTGCAGGGACAGGATGACTGGTTGCAATTGAAGGAAAGATGAATGCGGCGAAGTACAGAGATATCCTGGAAGAAAACCTCTTCCAGAGTGCTCAGGACCTCAGACTGGGCCGAAGGTTCACCTTCCAACAAGACAATAACCCTAAGCACACAGCTAAAATAACAAAGGAGTTGCTTTGGAACAACTCTGTGACCATTCTTGACTGGCCCAGCCAGAGCCCTGACCTAAACCCAATTGAGCATCTCTGGAGAGATCTGAAAATGGCTGTCCACCAACGTTCACCATCCAACCTGACAGAACTGGAGAGGATCTGCAAGGAAGAATGGCAGAGGATCCCCAAATCCAGGTGTGAAAACTTGTTGCATCATTCCCAAGAAGACTCATGGCTGTAGTAGCTCAAAGGGTGCTTCTACTCAATACTGAGCAAAGGGTCTGAACACTTATGACCATGTGATATTTCAGGTTTTCTTTTTAATAAATTTGCAAAAATTTCTTTTTTTTTTTTTCTGTCAAGATGGGGTGCTGAGTGTACATTAATGAGAAATAAATGAACTTTTTCATTTTAGCAAATGGCTGCAATGAAACAAAGAGTGAAAATTTTAAAGGGGTCTGAATACTTTCCGTACCCACTGTATGTTCAAAGCAGAGGGAAAAATGAGGTTCAATTGAAAAAGAAATCAGGTTGCAAATATCTTCCCATAATCTGGTTGAGAAAGGGCAAGACCAAAATAAATGAAACCTCTTCAGGGAGTCCTACACAGAGAGAGCAGTTTAAATCTATATCTTTATTAAATCATTGTAAAAAAGCTTTAGATGGGTAAATTCTGTGAATTATTTTAAAACATACTTCTTTTACCTTATTATTAATTATATATCTAGCAGGTAAGTTCCAGATCTTTTCCCAGTTAAGGTTATTAATAAAGTTGTTCCAATAAGTTATTACATGTGGAGTTGATACGACTTCTTTCTGAAATAAAGAGCGTATATTACGGTTACTATTGCGTGTTGAGGAGAAACTAATTTGGCCGATTTCAAGTTTGGTTGGATCAAAGGGCAATAATGATGGATTTAGTCCTAATGTACTTTTAAATAACAGTTACTCCAGGAGGAATCACATTTATAACAATATTAAATTCACTAATAGGAATAGGGATTCTATATTTTAGGATAAATTCCTGATATGTAAGTAATGATCACACAAGAAACAGCAGAGCCAATCGAGGAGCTTGTGTGCGGTCTAAACTAAGCCTGGTCCTCGTGCTTGACGTGTCTCCGTTTACTATAACGGAACATTGTTAGTGGATGGTAAAAAGAGCAGGGACAAAACGGCCTTTTGAAAAAGACTGCAAACATCATGCCATCACTACTCAACTGAGGGTTAGTGTAGAAAGGTTAAATGTTTTATAAATGAATGTTGTAATGTTTTATATATGTCAGTTAATGAGTTGAATGAAGTTGAAGCACAGAGGTGATCATTTATTCTTTATGCTATAAATAACATTGTGTGTGTGTCTGTACACAGTGTGTGTGTGTGTGTGTGTACACAGTGTGTGTGTGTGTGTGTGTGTGTGTGTGTGTACAGTGTGTGTCTGTACA